GCCCCGGTCCGGGGGCGGCGGGGTGGGGTGTGGGCCGACTGGCCTGTTGCAAGCAATGCACTCCCGGCTGCCTCCACGCGCTCTCCCCTACCAGGACAGCCTCCAACCAGTGCACAAGCGCCACCCCACCAGCACAGCCTTAACCACGCCTCACTCATCCCCCCACCCCACCCCACCCCACCCGTACTGCCCGCAGCAATGCCCCGACCTGCCCATCATCCTCTACATTTCCAACAGCGGGGCCCTGGTGGAGCGCATGGCGGCATGCAACCCAGGTCGGGACCCCCCTCCCCCCCGGCTGCCCCCCACTCCCGCCCTCGCGGCTGCCTGCTGACAGCCTGCAGCCTGCCTGCCTTGCTTGCTGGTCGCTGGGTTCATGCGGCCACCCTCCCTACCCACACGCACCCTCCCACTCCCCCCACACCACACACCCCTGCAGACATCATCTCCCTCTGCCACACGGTGGACATGAAGGAGGGCATCCGCCGCGCGGGCACCCAGTTTGCCTACCAGGGCAACATGGACAGCGGCGTGCTGTTTGGCAGCCACGACATGATTGAGCAGCGGGTGCGGGAGACGGCCAAGGCGGCCAAGGAGATGGGCGTGCGGCACATCATGAACCTGGGCCACGGCATCATGCAGGTGTGGGGAGGGCGGAACAGGCACAGCGGCCTGCCCGCCGCCCGCCGCTCCCGCTCGGTGCTTGGTGATTGTTGTTCGCCTGGTCTGCCCTGGCATGCTTGCTCCGGGTTGAGTGCGAAGAAACTGGTGTGCGATGCTGACTGGAAACCCTCCCTGCCGTCTCTGCCACAGGGCACCCCGGAGGAGAATGCGGCCCACTTCTTCAAGGTTGCCAAGGAGCTGCGCTATGCCGACCTCTGAGCGGCGCCTGCCGGCACCCACAGCTGCATCGTTTTCAAGCACGGCTCATTTGCTTTCTTCACTTTCTCTCCTTGCCGCTCCCCTTTTTTCATATTCACTTTGTTCTTGACTGCTAAAATGTCCTCCAAATAGGCAGTGGGAAACAGGGGAGGCTGGAAGAGAGGGCAGCAGGGAGCAGGGGCCAATCGTGCAAAGATCAAGAGTCCCGGGGTGCGCCTCAACCGCGAGCTCTGAAATGCAGGGGCGCCTAAACTGCTGCTACATCATTGCTGCTGCTGCGGGGCTAACGACAAGGAAGTCCTAGGCTAGAGTACACGTGAGTAGGGGCAAGCTGCTGCCGCCGCCGCTACCGCTGCTTCATGCCAAACGCCGTGCCGGGCTTCAGGCTCTTCTTTGCCTTGGCCTTCTCGTCAGCTGTGGCTGTCACGGGCGCCTTGAGCTGCACGACACACGCAAAGGGGGGTGCAGGAGGGGAAGCCAGGCAGGCAGGGTGAGCGCTGACATGGCAGCAGCGACACGCGATGCGACAGCGCCCATCGCCTCATAGCCCAGGAGCAGCGGCGCAGGCTCACCACCGACAGCTTGCTGCCGGGCTGGCTGGCAGCGGCCACCGCAAAGTGCTCCTCGTTGTCGGCGTTGATGGCCTTTGTCAGCTCCAGCTGCTCCTTGTGCGCCGCCTTCAGAATCGTGCGCTTGGGCGGCTTTATGAGCGCGCCTGCGACCCGGCAGCAAGCACAGGCGTGATGCAGGGTGGTGGTGCTTGCTTGGGCATCCAGCAACTCATCAGCCGGCACTCTACCCAACCTGCGACCTTCAGGCACCGCAGACAGCACACAGAGCTCTGATGCCGGCAGGGAGGCAGCTTGGCGCACCCTTCTTGGTCAGCGCCTTCTTGCCGTGCCGGTTGGCCGCCTGTTGCTTCTGCTGCTTCTTGCCCTTTTGTAGCGGCTTCTGGGCCATGACTGGCTGCTGCGATCCAGGATGTCAGCAGCGAGGCTGTCTAGTCCTGTGGTCACTTGCCGCTGCCGCCGCCGCCGCTGCTGCCCGGCACTGCAAAGCGACCTAACAACCGGAGGCCGGGACGTTGACACCGCACCCTTGCCACTCTGGGCCCAGTGCAGCTGTCAAAGCGAGCATGCGTGCAGACATGCAGGAACGCACGATCCCACCTTGGCCGTTTTTTCTGGGACACTGGCAGTGCTGATAGCTGGTGGGTCGGCCAGGATGCGGTGCGAAAGGCTCAGGGCGATGGCAGGGCGCCAAAAACGGAATCGCGTTGGCCGCAGCAGGGCCTAGCACACCTGCCGTCCAAAGAGGCGCCCAACTTCACACCTGTCGCCCTGCAGACGGTAACCCTGCGTCAGTGAGTCCTGGCAGCAGCGGAAGTCGGCAGGGACACTGCGGGCGCAGAACGGCCGCACAACTCCGCCCTGAGCCGGCCCAGCACCAGACCCATCGCCGTGATGCGCTTGTAGCAAGGGAACAGGACGCCCGACCACTAACGCGCTGCCCACCAAGATGGCTGGGAGCCCCTTTGAGGGTGCGTGGGCGGGCAGGGCGGGGCCTGGGGGCGATGGAAGTGCCCGCTGCCAACTGCAGGGGCTGGGATCAGGCTCGGCAGCCGCACCGCGGGTGTGCCCCCGCCGCCGTCGCGAGCGCACGCCCGCCGCCGCCCTCCCCCTGACGCCGTACCTGCCTGCCTGCCTGCAGCCGACATGTCGGCCGACGTGGAGAACACGGATTCGGATCTGATGACGCCTGCGCGCAGCGTGCAGCACTCGGAGGCGCAGCTGCTGCAGCGGTGCACGGCGGCGGTGGAGCAGTGCCGCAGGGACCTGGCCGATCTGCGCACCGTGTGCAAGGCGGCCAACGCGCACCGCGAGAAGTGCGCGGAGCTGCTGGGTGCTGCCACCGAGGCGGTGGTGGCTCTGGAGGACATGCTGTACGACCCAGACATCGACCTGCAGCGGGAGCGGTCGCTGCAGCAGCTGGCGCGCCGCGTGCAGCAGTCTATGGACAAGGTGGGGCGCCCCCGCCGAGGCAGCGCCGAGGCGGCGCGTCGCGCGCTGCACCACCTCCCTGCTGCGGTGGTGCGTGCTGCCTGGCGTGCGTGGGGGGTGCACCGCCCAGCCGGAGGAGCAGCCGCACGCGGCCGCGGGCTGCCGCAGCCGCCCTGGCCCTGCATGCGGCATCTGTCGCGGCGCCTGCCAAGAGGCAGCTGCCGACCCAGGCCTGCCCTGTGCACCCACCTGGGGCCTGGCTGCAGGGGGAGGCGATGGTCAAGGTGTATGGCAGCATGAGCGGGCTCAAGAAGCTGACCTCCAAGATGTGCTCACCCGGCACGTCCCTCAAGTTTGATGATGCCATCAAGGAGCTCACAAACCTAGCCAAGCAGGTGAGGGAGGGAGAGCGAGAGGGGGAGAGGGGGGCAGAGAGGGAGAGAGAGCGGGGATGCTGCTGCCCCTGCCCCGACATGTGCGCTGCTGGATCCTGGAACTGCTGCCCAAGTGCCACCCCCGCCAGCCCTGGTTGCTGCGTCCAGCAATCAGCCGCTGGCTGCCGCCCGCTTGCCGCCGCGTGCCTGCTGCCGCCTGCGCCGCTGCTGACGCGAGGCGGGGCCGCCGGCCGCGCTGCGCTGCAGGCGCGGCTGCAGCGCCAGCAGCCCACACGCATGGGCACGGCGCATAGCTCCGCGTTGGACAGCGCGCGCATGCCGTCGTCGGTGCCCACCGCGCTGGCGGGCGTGGGCCTGGCGACCAGCGGCAGCAACAGCCACCACAGCACGGTGCAGGCAGTGCCCTCCATCCCCACCTCCCCCATGGGCGTGGGCTCCAGCACCGCCTCTGCCACCACCTCGGGCCTGCCCATGCTGGCGGAGCAGGCGCCCGTGGGCGGCAGCGGGCAGGGCAGCAGCGGGCTGGCGCTCATGGGGGACCGGCAGGTGCCGGAGGAGGCTCTGATGTGGAAGAAAGTGCGCAAGGGCGGCTCGCGGCAGGCGATCACGGCCATGCTGCACGTACCGCCGGGGGAGCACGAGCCGCAGGGCCACTTGGGATACCTGTGGTACTACCTTAGCAAGTGAGTGCCGGGCAGCTGCTGTTTCATATGCAACATGCTTTTTTCGTCTTTTCTCGTGATTTTCGCGAGGCGTGTGGGGACCAAGGCACGGCCTGGGAGCGTGCCCAGGCTGGCCCCCGCGCAGCCAGCGGGCAGGCCCCCACGCCACCGTCCCCGCCACGGCCGAGCGGCCCACCCCTGCTCCCCGCCCGCCCGCTCGCCGCCGCGCCGCAGGAGCGTGTTCAGCAACGGCACCCTGTTCTTTTACAATCTGTCCAATGGTCTGGAGGATGAGCTGAAGGATGCACGGCAGGACAAGAACATCACCTGCATGCACTACGACGACACCACCGGCTACATCTGGACCGGTCACTCCAGCGGGCGCATCCGGTGCGGCGGCGCCGCGCGTACGCGTGTGCTGCTGTCGTGTCGGGCGTCTAGCCGGCGTGGCTGTTGTGGTGTGCCGCGCCTTGGCTGGCTGGCCGGGTGGCTGCCCCTTTGCTGCGGGCTGCTGAGGCTGGCGCCGCGCTGCGGCAGCCGGCCCGCTGGTTTGACAGGAGGTAGTGGGTGCGTTCAACGCTGTGCAGGGTGTGGGATGCGGACAAGCAAGAGGCGCTTGTGGAGGGCGTCAAGGCCTTTGGCCACCCCACCAGCTGCATCACAACGGACGAATACTCGCGGTGCTGGGTGGGAGGAGGTGCGCTGGCTGGCTGGCTGGCTGGCTGGCTGGGCACATGGATCTCTTCTCGCTTGGGAGCGGAGCAGTGCAGTGTGCAGTGGGACTACCTGCTGCTTTGGGGGAGCCTGACCATGGCTGCACAGGGTGGTACGTGGCTTCAACTGCCCCCCAACTGCTGTGCCCTGCCGCCGCCCGCCGCCGCCGCCGGTGCAGACCGGGGCCGTGTGCGGTCGTTCCGGCTGGAGCCGACGCAGCGGGACGGCGTGAATTTTGGGTACCGCCTGGTACTGCGGGGGGAGCTCAACACCGTGGGGGAGGGCATCCCCGAGCCAGACTACAACAACCCAGGTGCGGGGCCCCGGCTGGCTGGCGAGCCCAGCATGCAAACAGGTGGTGGTGGTGGTGGTGGGGCTGCACCCGCAGCCGCACAAAGCCTGCCGCTCCCGCGGGGGCAGCCTGCAGCAGCGCCCGCGAGTGCGCCTGCGGCGGGGCAATGGGCGGCAGCGCGAGGGCACGGCGGGCATGGCACAGCGGCGGGGCGCCACTGCTCCCCACCTCCCTGCCGCCTGTGCTCCCCGCCTCCCTGCCGCCCTGCCTCGCCTCCCGCCCCGCCCGTCCACGCCTGCCTGCCTGCATGAATCTGTCAACCCGCCCACGCCTGCCTGCCTGTCTGCCTGCCTGCCTGGCGCAGAGGGGGACAACATGGTGTCCCACCCGCTTGCCCGCGAGTCCGCCCACTACGGCCCCGTGCGCTGCATCGCGGCGGCGGCCGGCCGCGTGTGGACCTGCGGCGGCTCCTCCGCCTTTGCCACCTTCAAGGAGTGGACGCAGTCGGGGATCCACGTGGAGCAGCACAGCATGCGGTCCATGGGTGAGCGGCGGCCGTCAGAAGCGCCCGCCTGCGCCCACACCACCCCCCAGCACCTGCCCTTGCTCCCTGCCGCGTCGCCGCTGTGTCTTGTGTGCCGCGCCTCGCGCCTGCGCCTGCCGTGCGTGCCGCGTGCGCTGGCTCTGCGCTCGGGCAGGAAGGTGGGGCGTGGTGCCGGGTGCGCTGCCTCGCACGGCCTCACCCCGCCGCCACCTCCGCTCACCACCCCTCCTGCTAGATGACTCGCCAGGCCTGATCAACGACATGGCGCTCGTCTCCCCCATCACCATCGTACAAGAGTCGCAGCGGCAGCGCGCCTTTGCCGGCTCCCAAGGTGCCTCTGCAGCCGCCGCGCCGCGCTGCGCGGCCCGGGCCTGGGCTGGCGGCGGAATGCGCTCGCGGCCGTGCTCCTCTCTGCAGCAGCTGTTCTACTGGCGGGCTGGGCTTGGGAGCGGCAACGCAGCCAGCGGGTCCCAGCCGGCGCCTGTTTTGGGATGAGGGACCAACGCGCCGCCCCGCCCCGCCTGGCCTGACATGTGTTTGCATCCTGCCTGCCCGCGCTGCCGCCGCCCCTGCTGGTATGCAGGCCTGTCCTCCTTCACCACCAGCGCCAGCGTGGCGGTGGCCTCCCGGGTGCCCGCCACCGTGCTGGTGGAGGTCGACATGCCGTGGCAGCTGGTGACGGCGCACGACAGCGGGGTGGTGCAGGTGTGGGGACACATCGACAGCCAGCGCGCGCTGCAGCCGCTGGTGCGCATCGGGGAGCGGGTGGCGCCCGCGCTGCGCCTCGTGGTGTGCGAACCGCTGGGCGCGCTGATCACCGCGCACAACGGTGAGCGCTGCCGCCGGAGCGCCTGCTCAGCACGCGCATGCATGAAGGGGACATGCTCAGCATGTGCCGCCCTGCCTGCCACTCCCAGCCCGCCTCGTCCCGCCTCGCCTCGCGTGGCCAGCCACCAAGCGCTCGCCCCTCCTGCTGCCCTCCTGCCGTCCCCACCCCACCCCCGCTCAGACGGCAAGTTGCGCGTGCGCCCACTGCACCACCCCCGCTCCTCCCGCGGACTCAAGATTGTCTACCAGGACGGCTCCGTCAGCAAGGTGGGCGAGGCCTCGCTGCCCTGCGTCCAGCTGGACACCAGCCGCTCGGGGCTGGCCACCGCACTGGGCGGCAGGGTGGGCGTCTTGACCGCCAGCAACTCCGCCGCCATTAAGCTGTTCCCGGTGGCGGAGATGCGGCGGCTGGCGGAAGAGGCGGGCATCGCGGTGCAGAGCCCGCTGGCGGAGATGGCGCAGGTGAGAGGCTGCCGCCTGCCCCGCCGCAGCCGCCGCGGCTCTTTGCCTGTGCGTGCGCGCCTCTGGCGGCCAGTCCTTGCCCTGGGGCGCCCCGCGTGGCTGGTACCAGGCCGGCGCTCACGCAGGGGCTCGGTGCTCGGCAGCGGCCCCGCAACGGTCCCGCAATGGCCCCACCTGCCCCGCGCTGCGCCTGCAGTGGCCGGTGTTCCACTTCACCAGCTGGGGCCTGCAACAGCACCTGGAGGCACAGGCGCTGGCGGCGCAGCAGTGCAGCCTGGATTATGAGGCGTCGCTGGCGGACGAGGGCAGGCCCAGCCGGCAGGACCGCTCGGAGGCGCTGGTGAGCAGCATTCGGAGGGCTGCCCAGAGGTTCACTGCTTTACATCCTAGCGCACGTGCCCCTGCACCCACACCCCCACGCCACTAGCACCAGCAAATGGCCCTGCCTGGAAGCGGATGGCCGTGCGTGGCCCCGCCAGGGCTGGGGGAGGCATTGCGCGCGGGCCGTCCATGCTGGAGCTTGTGCCTGCCTGCCCGCCCACCGCCTCCTGGATCCCGCTCCTGCCGGCCACCTTCCCACCCCTCGCTCGCCTGCCTGCCTCGTCCGCCTGCCTGCCCTGCGTGCCCGCTGGCCCCGCTGCAGGAGCACTCTGTGTTTGGGGATGAGACCAACAAGTGGCTGATCGACTGGAAGGAGCTCACCCGCACACGTATCATTGGGGAGGGCGCGTTTGGCAAGGTGCGGCGCCGCCCGCTGTGCCGCCTCCTCTTCTTGTTGGTGCTGCATGCACTCACCCAGCTGCTGCTCGAGTCTGGCGGCCCGCTCTGGCGCATGCCCGCCGGGATGCCGTGCGTGTGCACACAGCACACAAAGCACATGCAGCACACACAGCACAGCCAGCGACTGACGCCTCGGTGTGCGCTCCCCGGCTGTGCGTCCTGCCTGTGCCGCAGGTGTGGCTGGGGCGTTGGCAGGAGACGGATGTTGCCATCAAGCAGCTGGGCTCTCTCAGCGCGCTGGGCGTGGATACGGGCTCCCTGCAGCACGACTCCAGCGGAGGTGCGCCCCCGGCCCCTGTCCCAGCCCCACAAAAGCTCCCGTGCCCGCCCCCCGCCCACCTGGCCCGTGCTGTGCGCCTTCCGGCTAGTGGCCTGCCCGCCGCCCGTGCCAATCTATGCCCGCACGCGCACCTACCTGCCCTGCCTGCCCGCACCCTTGCCACCATGCCTGACTGCCTGCCCAGCCTGCTCTGCCCTTCCAACCTGCCTGCCCACACGCCTACCACCATGCCTGCCTGCTCGCCACTGCGCCCGCCTGCCACCCTGCCTGCCCACACGCTTGCCACCATGCCTGCCTGCCTGCGCTGCCCGCCTGCCGCACCCCCGCAGGCGTGAAGCTGAACCAGGAGGTGCAGAAGGTGCTGGACAAAGAGGTGGG